TGAAATGATGAGGATATACAATAGAGGCATTTCAAAAGAAACTTTGATTATTAAAATCTATGCTGGTATAAGTTTCCAGAGTTGAAATACTATAGCATTTCTGTAAGTAGTTTTAGCACATTCAGGCTATTGGCTCTGTATGTTAAGCACATCCTTATATGTTGGAAGTCATGCCAGAGATCATTATTACATGCAATCTTTTTTTTTTTTTCTTTATTGATTTTAGAAAGAGGAAGGGAAAGGGAGAGAGAGATAGAAACACCAATGAGAGAGAACATCAACTGGCTGCCTCCTGCACGCTGCCCAAGGGGGATCGGGCCCACAACCTGGGCATGTGTCCTGACTGGGAACTGAACCCGTGACCTCTTGGTGCATGGGTCGATGCACAACCACTGAGCCGCATTGGCCTGGCTACAAGCAGTTCTTTAGTAAGTCCTTTTCTCAGGTCAACTAACCATTCCCCAACTTATTTTTGAAATAATACAAAGCTGACTCAAATAAGTGCTATATTATTGGAATGCCTAACAGGCTATAGAAATCCAGAGGAAACTGTGATTCATTCCTAATTTGGGTGGAGGGCAGGAAATTGCAGAATTATTATAGCAACATGGCCTTTATGTGGGCTTTCAAGAATGGGCAAATCTTGAAAATGATTATGTCTTATTTATATGACACATATTCATAAAACATTATAAAATGTTGATCAGTAAATAGAACTGTAGTTCCATTAAAAAAAAACACATAATCCCATCACTTAACAAAAAATACCATTGTTAACATCAACTTGTTTCTATATGCAGACATATACATTTTAAAAATATGTTTTTATTGATTTTTTTAAGAGAGAGAGGAGGAGAGAGAGATAGAAACATCAATGTGAGAGAGAAACATTGATCGGTTGCCTCCTGCATGCCCCCTACTGGAGATAGAGTCCACAACCTGGGTATGTGCCATGACTGGGAATCGAACCAGGACCTCTCAGTCCATGAGACATCCCTCAATCCACTGAGCCACACCAGCTGGGCAATACATTTATAATATTTATAATAAAGATGCAGCCCTGGCGGATTTTCTCAGTGGTTAGAGCATTGGCCCGTGGACCAATGAGTCATGGGTTCGGTTCCGGTCTAGGGTATGTACCTTGGTTGCGATTTGTCCCTGGCCCTGGTTGGGGTTGTATGAGAGGTAGCCACTCAATGTGTCCTTTTCACGTGGATGTTTCTCTCTCTCTCTCTCTCTCTCTCTCTCTCTCTCTCTCTGTATTCCTCTCTCTCCCTCTCACTCTATCTGAACAAAAAAATGGAGAAATGTCCTTGGGTGAGGATAAAAAATAAATTAATAAATATAATAAACATGCAGTTTTCTGACAAGTTCCTCTTAATATATGGTATGTTTACATCCTTCTGATATTTATTTTCAGAAAGCAATGTCTTCATGTGTATATCTTAACTTATTAAGCAATTATCCTTTTTTTTTGGAAAATTGTATAGGGTTTTAATTTATTTTCTTCATAAGAAAAAGTCTTGTGGAAATTTTTATATTTCTAGTTGTTTGCTATGATAGACATTTAAGATGTGCTAAAACATCTTTCAACAGTATGTAGCTTTGAGTCTTTGTCAGATTATTTCCTCTGGAGGAGTCCTAGAAGTGGAATTGCTGGTGGACAGGAACTGATGTCCCCTCTCCTCTATAATCTGTCCACGTTTTCCTGTGTAACTCTTCTCTGCCCCACTATTGCATCCTTTCTTTGAGCACCTTTCAAGCAAAATAACTCGAGTTGTTTATATTCACTCTCTCCAATTCTTCTCCCTTCCTCTCTTATAACCATCCCAATAGGGTTTTTTCCCAACCACTCCATCAAAACTGGTCCTGTGGAAATAATCAATGACAGCCCTTCTCCACATTTTGTTAAATCCAGTACTAAATCTCACTTATCATCTTACTTGACCATACAGTAGCTTTTGAAATCATTTCCTCCTTCTAGAAACATTTCTTCCCTTCAAACCCCAGATACCACATACTCTTGCTTTCTCGTCCACCTCACTGGCCACTCACTCTGCCTCCCCATCCTGTTGACACTCATTCTCTTGCTGATCTCATTCAGTCTCATAGCTTTAACATTTTTTTATTTCTATTTTTCCGTTACAGTTGACATTCAGTATTATTTTATACTAGCTTCAGGTGTGCAGGATAGTGGTTAGCCATTTATATAATTCCCTCCAATAAATCTGGTACCCACCTGGCACCATAGTTATTGCAAAATTATTGATTATATTCCCTATGCTGTACTTTAACCCCATGACTATTTTTGTAACCGCCAATCTGTACTTCTTAATCCCTCCCTTTACCCTTTTCACTGAGTATCCCAACCCCCCTCCCACCTGGCAACCCGTGTTTGTTCTGTGTCAACGAGTCTGTTTCTGTTTTGTTCATTTATTTTGTGCTTTAGATTCCACACAGAAGTGAAATCATGTGGTATTTGTCTTTCTCTGTCTGACTTATTTCACTTAGCATAGCACCCTGTAGGTCCATCCATGCTGTTGCAAATTAAATCTCGTCGTTTTAAATCCCATCTTCCTGTCAATGAGTTCCAACTATTCTTTATGGTCTCGTCTCCTAAATGCCAAATTCAAATACCAAAACTCATTGCAAACTTACCAAGTTCGAAACTCAGCTTCTAATCTTTAAAAACATAAGACAACCTGCACCATCCTGTCTTTTTCCCTCTCTGTAAATGACAACCGTCATCCTTCTAGTTTCTCAAGCCTAAAACAGAATCCTTCTTGATCTTTTTTTTTATCCTAAACTATGTTCAGATCAAAAAATCTTGGCTTTGTCCCTAAAATATATCTGGAATCAAGAATCTCACCACCTCTCCTGCCACTACTCTGGGTCCATTATTTCTCTCTTGAATTATTAAAAGCCCCTAACTGGTCTCCCTGCATTTGCCCTTAATTCCTGTTTCTATTTCACGCAGAAGCCTGAGTGATCCTTTTAAAGTGGACGTCAGATCTCATTACTCCTCTGCTCCAAACTCCATATGGCTCCTCCATTTCACTTAGAGGAATAGCCAAATGTCTGACACTGTTCTGTCTACCATGCACCATGTGCTGTTCTACACCTCCACATCCCCTCTCTGGCCTTCCACCTTTTTCCTGGCTCATTGCTCCAGCCACCCTAACCTACTAGCCATTTTGAGAACTTACCAGGCTGTGAGTGCCCCGGGGCCTTTGCACTAGCTGTTCCCTTGGTTTGCAATGCCCTTCCCTCCTATCTTCTGTGCTCAGTCCCCAGCAGTGACAGCTTTTCGCTATCACTTTCCTTGTGAGATTCCAACTGACTTCCCCCTCTAAAGGTTCTCTCCTCCCTTTAGCATTTACTCTGCTCCTTCTCTTTTTCTCTACAACATTTATCACCTTCTGATATATGATAGTGTTTATTTGTATACATTGTTTGTTTCTCTTGGTCTCCAGAAACATGTCCATGAATGCAAGAATTTTTGTCTTACTCATTCAGTGCTGGAGAAGAGTCAACATTACAGGTGAGTATTTAATGCTTTTGATCCAGACTTCCAATTTGAAGATATTGAAATATGTAGATAAAGTGGGGAAGGATAGTCCATGTTGAAGACATGGTATTGGCAAAACCAGGGACATGCAAAAGAGAAAATAGTGCTCTGGCCACCAGGTGTGTCTAGTGTATCAGTGTGAGGTTATAGGATTGATTTAAAATGGAAACACATTGATGACACAAGACAACATGTTAACTGAAAGCACAAAATCAACTTGCTCCTCAATAAGAAATAAAGGGATGAAATTACAAAGGGGTTCTACGATAGGATGCTGATCAAGGCACTGGGAAAGCCCTGTGAAAACTTTTATCATAAATAAGAAGTTTGGCAAAGTGCAAAATTTATCAGGACAAGCAGCTGTTTTTGAAAAGATGATAAAAACTATGGATCCTTCCCCCCAAATTGGATGTACCTGCAAGGTTAGGAGTCCACCACTCCCGGAGCCTATGCATAGACACCACCATGGGCCTGTGGTTGAGAATTCCAACTAAGAAAAAAAAATCCCAGTTAAGAAATATTATTTCAGCATCATGACAATCACTTGGATGAAATGATGCTTAAATAAGGATGCAGGTAGTTGCAATATTGAGTTGTCAGAGTTTGGTAAATATTTGAAGCTTAAGTTTTCTTTCCTAAAGAAAAACGAATCCGACAGCCAGGCCTTAAATGTTTCCTCAAATACGTAGAATGAAACATCCCAAAGGTACTTCAGTAAACCTTCAAATTGAAAATTCTTTATTTTAAGCTTGACACAAATAATTGTATAAAGTATACAAGATAATCAGTAGGAAGAAATATAGGTATCAGTAATTTATTTTTTTTTTTTAATTGAAACCAGCAAACATTCCAGCCACACAGTCTGAGCTATTGTCTGTCTGGCTTCTGTACAACTTTATCATTAGCATCTTTCATCTAAATAATTCACTAAAATGTTATTAATGATCTTGCTTCTCTACCAAATACCCCTTCTCCCTGTATCATATTATCTAGAAATAATTAAAGGAAATTCAGCTCGGATAGTTTTTCTTGCTCAGCTATGTATCTGGAGAGGGATGTGGGAAGGGAAGGTAGAGGGTCTCATTTATGTCTGAATATAAACAGTTCTTCATTCCCCGAGACCATCCTTGCACCGTAACCCTAATGCAGAGAACTCCTCTGTGTGAAATCTATTCCGTCTCTGATACGTGATGCCAACCCTTACAGTGATAAAGACCACAGAAGCAAATGCAGAGGCACTGAATTTAAATATAATCAGCCCTGAGAGGTCTCTCTGGTTGGTTTCTTTTCCCTGTTGTCACTCATTAGAGAACAAGTTTACCAACAGCCATCGGCCCAGCACATCCACGCTGGAGCCAGGCCAAGGACGAGCAGCGCTGTGGAAATCTGGGCAGCGAGGTGGAAGGGGAGCCGAGCGCCCGCCGATGAAAACATGCGGGGACTGCAGGGCAGCAGCTGGAGGCAGTTTGGCCACGCTGGCAGGGGCACATACGAGTGGATAACTAGCGAACCAAGCCTACCTCTTCAGGAAGCCCAGCTGCAGGTCTGTACCGATGACTTCTGCCTTTTCTTCCCCCAAGTTTGTCAGCGTTTACACCAACAATGCCTATATGGTTAGGATCTTAAAACTTAGTGGCACCATTTTGCATTGTGGGTATGACAAAAATACGATTTCATTCATTGGCGTGGTCTAAGGAAGTAACTTGAAAGTTGTTTTCTTTTGACAATGAGAAATTCAAGTAAAACTTGCCACAAAGATATTCTAAGAACATCTGACATATCAAATATGTCAAAGAACACCTGAAGTCAGGGGTCAACAACGTGCATGCCTTCGTTCTCCAGCTTTGGTCTTTGCTCAGTGAGCCGTGTATATACATATACAAATGTAACAAACGCCCTTTGGCTCTCCGGCTGTATAATAAAGTGGCAGAAGCCAAGCATCTTACTTCCGAAAGGGGTGCAGAGGGTTAAGGAGGTTCTCTCTCGACTAAGAAATGCAGCAGCAGCTGCTTAGCTCTGTCTGGGAAGTCACCAAAGAAGTCTCAATCTGAGGCAGCGTTACGGAAAAATATTGGTAGAAACTTAAGAACTCAGAATTAATTTTATCCTCAGCAGGGAAATGAGTGATTCTGCTATCCCATAAGAAAAGGGGCCACAAACCTATTTTCTTGTTTTCTGGAAAATCAACTGATCAGATTGGTATTGATGTTCTGCAAAACCACCTTTTGCAGAAAAACATTTGTACATGTATATATAATGATGTGTTTCTCAGCAGTTACACTTCTAACTGGACATTTCTTTAAAACATCCCCTGAACAATACAGCCGTTGTGTCAATATACACATCAGAGATATATTAAAAGTTAAGAAGCCACTTTGAAGGAAGTGAACAAATTTGGACATTTGACTAAAAAAAAAAAAAGTAGAGACATTCATTCTTCATTTTAAAATATCAGAATAATTTGAACTCGTATATCATGAATCAATAAATAAGCAAATTAAGTAGACCATAAATTAGTCCTATAGCTCTATGTATTTCTTAACTGGAAAACAAGAATTCTTTATCTGAAGACATTGTCATAATCTTCTCTATTAGACAGCAGTGCCGTTCAGTATGTGGTCAAATTTAACTCAACCAACAAAAGTACTAATTACAGAAAGGGACTATGGTATTTCTCCTTTCACAGATTTTTGCAACTAGTATTGATAATACCAAAAGTGGCATACTTGTGAATAACAGGGTTTATTACATAAAATCTTTTAAATACAACAATAAGTGTCTTTATAGTTTATGCATATTAAACTTATAGGGCGCAATAGAATATTTAAATGTTGATGGCCACAACTGTGAGAAACTATTATCATCCATACACTTGATAGAGAATGAAGAAATATCATACAAAATGGTCCACGTTTATCAAGATTGAACAGTGATTGTTTTAAGTACTAAAAGATAATAGTTTTAAATGTTTTAATGACTCATGGGGAGAAAAACATAGTTACTTTTTGACTCCAACTTTATTTTTTAATAATTGGGTAAATTATTTAAGACTCCATCTACTCTTACAGCTTTTGCAATCAAAGTCCCGCATCACATCACAATAGATTATAAGTGAATAGTTCTGATAATAAACTTGATTATGTGTGAGAAAACAGAAAGAATCCAGAGTTTAGAAATATAAAAAATAACAAAATTATTTTCATACAAAAATACTAATGTTGCTAAAATATTTTCTCTGAAAGTATTTATCTATTGAAATACAAACTTAGAAATTCCAAATTTTTCCTGCACTGTATTTTTCAGCCTTATCAGTACATTTCTAGATGACTTCTAGTTTTCAGTACTTAATAGTCCAGTGAATTTGACTATTTGAGATTTGGCTATAAATACCTATTATTTACCAAGAGCTTTACACATATTGATTCATTAAACTCTCATGCCAACCCGTTAAAAAAAAAGTTGGTCAAACTCCAAAGATGACATTCCACTTCCCAACAAAACCTTTAATTTGTATTAACTTTATGTTAAAATATCTTAACAAAGACAAAATATCTGGCAGTACAAATATTAAGTTAACCAACTACATTTCAGTCAAAACAACACATACTTATAAATTCATTAAGAAGTAAAAATGATAAACCGTCAGTGCTAGATAAGCCAATCTCTTAAGAGGCCATGACCAGAAAGAAAATTGTCCTTTCCACCAAAATCAAAGAACCTCAGCTCTCGGTTTTACTATGTTTTGTTTTAAATAAGTAGATAAAGAGCTTAGTACTTTGTCTTAGACACAATTATAAGGCTTTAATTTTTTCTTTTCCTCTTAGTAGTGGATACAATCATTTACATTTGTTGCTGTAGGCTTTATATAATAAAGGATCTTTTAAAGTATGTTTTTAAATTGATTTATTTTCCTTTTAGAGAGAGAGGAAGGAATAGAGAGATAGAAACATTAATGTGAGAAACATCCATTAGCCGCCTCCAGCACGCCCCCTACTGGGGACCAAGCCCACAATCCGGGTATGTGCCCTGACTGGGAATCAAACTGGGATCTCATTGGCCACGGGATGACACTCAATCCACAGAGCCACACTGGCTGGGCTAAAGGAGCTTTTTAATATTTCATGATTTCTTAGCAGCTTTATTTAAAGCAACATCTGTGCAATTTGGAACAGTATTTTTTTTGTTTTGTTTTACTTTTCTACCTTGCTATTCAAGCATCATTTCATGCCTATTATAGTATTTACTCCATTCAGACTCATCATCTTCTAAGCTATTACTAGAAAACCAACATTTTGTAGGCTGCTTAAGAATTTACGTACAATTTTTTTCCATAAAGAATTCAAACTTTTTTATATTGCAAGAACAAATTGAAGAAATTTCAAAATCTGTCATAAGAATCAGCTATAAAATCAGATATGAAATGTTATTTACATGTGATATGAACACACAATGTCAGATTTTGTTTCACCAAAAAAGAAACTAAGTTCCATATGATTCTTTTGTGGCGAAACATTATTGGTCTAATACTAAAAAAAATGTATAAATTGTAAGAGTTATTCAAAGAATGCCCCTGGCAGGTTTGGCTCAGCAGTTAGGGCATCGGCCCGTGGCCAGAGAGACCGGGGTTCCTGCTAAGGGCACGTACCTCGGTTGCAGTTTGTCCCCAGCCCCGGATGGGGTTGTGTGGGTGGCAGCCACTCGAAGTGTCTCTCTCACATCGATGTTTCTCTCTCTCTCTTCCTCCCTCCCTCCTACTCTATCTGAAGATAAATGAAAAAAAAAACAAAAACTGTCCTCTGGTGAGGATAAAAAATAAAATATAAATTAATTTAAAAAAAGAGTTATTCAAAGAATAAGTGGTTGACCTACCATCTAAAGTTTATTCTAATATTTATACTATAGTGGAAATATTGTAGGATGTCATCAATGTGTATGTTGGACATTTTAAATTCACATTTTATCTTGTCAATTCACTTTATTTTATGTAGGCTTAAAGTCATTGGCATAAATGAATAGTGATTTTTAGAGTGAGTGAGTAATGATAAGAATAAAAGATGAGACTTCCTGTCAAGTTGGCGGGTAGGTAAACGCGGTATCATCTCCTCCCACAACCTCATCAAAGTTACAACTAAACTACAAAACAACCACCATTCAAAATCGCTTGAATTCAAGCTGAATGGAAGTCCTACAACTACGGAATTAAAGCAGCAGCCGCATCCAGACTGGTAGGAGGGGCGGAGGCGGTCAGGCTGGTCCCACACCCACGTGCGGCGGATAAATACAGGAGGACACCTCGGCTGGGAAGGTCCTCCCTGAGGACTGAGGGGTCCCCATCCCACACCAGGCACCCAGCTCAGGGTCCAGTGCCAGGAAGAGAATCCCCATCACTTCTGGCTGGAAAACCCAGTGGGAACTGAGGCTCAGGGAGGCTGATGCGGCTGGAGCCCCAGGCAGCTCCTTAAAGGGCCCGTGCACGGACTTAGACTCGCTCCCTCCAGGCTCCAGCATGGGGAAGCAGCTCGAAAGGCACCAGAGTCATATGGGGAAGAACTGAGTTGTTTGGCACTGGAGCAAGAGCTGGAGAGGCAGCTTTCTCCTGGACAGAGGTGCTGTCAGAGGCCTTTGTTTCTTTGGTGAGCCCTTCCCTGGGGCAGCAGACAGCCACCATATCTGGGACTCCAGCAACCTGGCTCACACTGGTACTCCTTGCTGACTCCCTGAGGCCCCGTCCCGCCCAACTTTCAGGCCCACCCAAGCTGTTGCCACTTGCTTAACCATAGGATTGGCCTGTCTTGGATCCGGCTTTAGGTTTTCCTAAATTCTTTCAAACAAGCAGCATCTGGTCTCAGCTAGTCCCATACCTCTCATTAAGTAATACACAGAAACAAACACAGGGAGGCAGCCAAAATGAGGAGACAAAGAAACAGGTCCCAAATGAAAGAATAGAACAAAACTCCAGGAAAAGAACTAAGTGAAATGGAGATAAGCAACCTAGCAGATGCTGAGTTCAAAACACTGCTTATAAGGATGCTCAATGGACTTAGTGAGAACCTCAGTGAACTTAGTGAGGGCCTCAAGAGCATAAAAAAAGACCAGTCAGAAATGAAGGAGGCACTAACTGAAATAAAGAATAATTTACACAGATTCAATAGTAGAGTAGGTAAAACCAAGAAGCAAACCATCAATTTGGAATAAAAGGAAGCAAAAAACACCCAATCAGAACAACAAAAAGAAAAAAGAATAAAAAAAAAATGAGGATAGTGTAAGGAGCCTCTGGAACAACTTTAAGCGTGCCAACATTTGCATCTTGGGGGTGCCAGAAGGAGAAGAGAGAAAACAAGAAATCAAAAACCTATTTGAAATAATAATCGCAGAAAACTTCCCTAACTTGGTGAAGGAAACAGACATGCAAGTCCAGGAAACACAGAGAGTCCCAAACAAGATGAACCCCAAGAAGCCCACACCAAGACATATCATCATTAAAATGCAAAGGTTCAAGACAAAGAGAGAATCTTAAAAGCAGCAAGGGAAAAGCAGTTAGTTACCTACAAGGGAGTTCCCATAAGACTGTCAGCTGAGCCCTGGCTGGTTTGGTTCAATGGTTAGAGCATCGGCCTGCAGTCCTGAGAGACCCGGGTTCAGTTCTCAATAAGGGCACATGCCTCAGCTGCGGTTTGTCCCCAGCCCTGGTTGGTCATGCAGGTGGCAGCCACTCAATGTATCCCTTTCATGTCGATGTCTCTCTCTCTCTCTCTCTCTCTCTCTCTCTTTCTCTCTCTCTCTCTCCCTCCCACTCTATGTGAACAAAAAATGGAAAAATGTCCTCGGGTGAGGATAAACAAAACAAAACAAAACAAAAGACTGTCAGCTGATTTCTCAAAAGAAACTTTACAGGCCAGAAGGGAGTGGCAAGAAATATTCAGAGTGATGAAAAGCAAGAATCTACAACCAAGATTACTCTATCCTGCAAAGCTGTTATTTAGAATCGATGGCCATATAAAGAGTTTCCCAGACAAGGAAAAGCTAAAGGAGTTCATCACCACCAAACCATTATTATATGAAATGTTGAAGGGTCTTCTTGAAGAAAAAGATTAAAAATATAAACAAAGAAAAATTTTGTTGGTTGCCAGATGGGAGGGCAGTTGGGGGAATGGGTGAAAAAGGTGAAGGGATTAAAAAGTACAAATTGGTTGTTAGACTGACAAACTTCAAAGGGAAGGGGGGCTGGGGGTGGAAAGAAATAAACCAAAGAACTTGTTTGTATGTGTATATGCATAACCAATGGACACAGGCAACAATGTGGGGAAAGGCAGGAGGGGGGCAGGAATGGGGAAGATGGGGTCAATGGGGGGAAAATGAGGAACATCTGTAATACATTCAACAATAAATATACTTTTTTTTTTTTAAAAGAAAAGAATAAAAGATGAAAGAAATTCAGGGACTTCTTTTGCCATCTCCTAACTCAATTCCATTCCTTGCTCCAGGGCACCCAGAGGATAAGTTCCAGCAAAGAAGACGTGGAGCCCTTCCTGTGCATCCTCCTTCCAGCCACCATCGTGCTCTTCCTGGCCTTCCTGCTGCTCTTCCTGTACCGCCTGTGCAGGGCCCCGCGGCCCCAGGGCCAGGTTCTCAGCATCGACCTCTCGCAGCAGCCGCCTGCGGGGGAGGAGACTGACTTCCTGCCGGGCTTGCCCTGGAGCGAGCAGGACTTCCCCTACTCTCCCCTGCCCATGGAGGCCGCCCCCCTCTCCGCGGGTCTGCCGCCCTCCTATGAAGAGGCCACCCGGAATGCCCCCGGGGAAGAGGTCCCCGGTGTGGGCCTTCGGTATGGAGAGGGGTCACCGGGACGGGAAGAGCCAGTATAAAGTGCTCGGGAACCCACGGAGCACACAGCTCGCACCCTCCACGAGCCTGCGTGCCAGCCGGAGGGCAGGGCGCCTGGACCAGAGGCTGCTGCTGGGCGGACTGGATGGAGGGACTGGGCGGGGGCAAGACTGGACAAATAGCGATCCAGTTAACGCATCTTCAAGTTCCTTAAGGAAAAATGTCCCCAGACTGTTCTAAAGACGGCTGGGCTCTTCTGAAATGTGTAACACTCCCGGGGGAAAAAAGGGAAAGTTCTGTGTGAGCTAAGAAAAAAAGTCAGAATTACTAGTGAGCCTAAGAACTATCTCTGGAGACAGACGACAGAAAAATGCTGCTAAGCTAAAGGTAACTACTGTTGCCACCAAATAAAACTTTTCTTCCTACGGAGGTGTTTCAGAACCTCTCGGCTTCCCTTCTGTGTGAGGCCTTCAAAGTGGCTAGAGAGTTCTAGAAGGAGGAAAAACACCTTCCAGGGCTGCAGCAGTCAACTGTGTTGTAAATAATGGTGAAATGTTTCAATATTGATCATGAAAGTACAGACATTTGCATACATTTTAGTTCGCAAAATAATAAAGCTCTCCAAAATCATCTCCTTCGTGTGGCTCTCACTTCGGAGCGGGGGCGGGTCTGGGACCTCGGGGGCGGTCTGGCAGGACGCAGGCTGCTGCCCTAAGGCATCATCTCAGAGGGCACTGTGACTTCACGTGCGGCCTTCACCAAGCAGCAGTGCCAGAGTAGACATCAGCTTAACAGTGAGAAGGAAAGGTCAAAACTTGGGATCACATGAGAAACATGGATTAGCTGAAACCTTATAAATCACCTTGGTCCAACTCTGGCTCCATCGGTGTCAAAACCAGAGCTCAGCGAGGCTAAGTGACCTGTCTGACGTTCAGTACCTCAAAAGAGGCAGAGCTGGGACCAGAAGCCCAGCCTCTCTGTCCTGGGCCGCGCACCTTCCAGGAGGCACGGCAATCCCCCGAGAACACTACAGACGTGGAATCTCAGTCCGTGCTTCCCACGGGAGTGTCAGGCCTCTCGATAGCATGAGCACAGCTGGGTTTGGACTGGATACAAATCTCCCTTTGTGATTCTCACACGGGGAGGTGGAGGTGGGTCACCTACCGCTTGGGATGAAGCTGGGGAGGTGACATGCATAGTCCTTAAACTCTTATTCTATGATATAACTTCTTGGGAAAATATTTTTACTTTTTTTCTAGACAACCCTTTGACAGCTTAAGATGAAAAATGGTGGCTTTTAAAACTTTCTGATGAGAACATTTTAATGTTAGATGTGCAATGTGGTGCAGCTTTAGGAAAATAAAGTAATCTAAAATAGGATATATTTATTTTTAAATGTAATCTGATAGAAATAATAGTACCTTTGAGGACTGGAGCAAAATATAACCTATTTGAGTGAAAATGAATGCAAGCTCTTTCGGGAAAACTATACCGAACAATTAATTCCCTAGTGGTCTGTAAGGGAAGTAAATAGATAAATGGAAACAAGAGGCTCAGCAGACAGTCTTCTTCAGGTTTGTTTTTTTAATCCTTAGACTCTAGCTCTGTTGATTCTCTCCCAGCTGCCATTTCTTCCTTTTCCTTGTTGACAGAACCCTGATTTGGTTCTGCGATCCTGAGACCACCTGTGTAAGGCAGACTAGATCCCACCAACACCAGGAGATATGCATCATGATAGTTCATCAAGGTCATCTCAATACCTTCATGATGGGGACTGACTTGGTTTTGGGGACTAAGGGGAGACCTGTACAGGAGGAGAGGCTTGTTCTAAAAAAGGTTGCCTAATATTAAAAATACATACATGAAAGGACATACTTTGCCTCTTTGCTGGACGTTATGTGTCTGCATGCGATGCCTGGGGCTGCTACAGCCACCTTGCAACCATGAGGCAAGCCAACGGCCAAGGCTAATACTGAACACAATTAAGGAGAAAGATGGAATACACCTGGATTGGTGGCGCTGTAGAGCAGCTGAATTAACCCTGCAACTCTCTATTTATTGAGGAGAGAATACCTTTCCTGCTGCTTTAAACCATTTAAACCAGGCTTGTTACTTATAGAAAAAAGCAGGTCAATTCCTACAATCTCCAAGGCTATTAAGAAAATGCATTACCATTTAAAATTTTTTATTTTTCCTTTATTGTTTTCAGAGAGCGAAGAACGGAGAGGGAGAGAGAGAGAGAAATATCAATGTGAGAGAACATCGATTGGTCGCCTTCAGCAGGCCCCCCACCTGGGCATGTGCCCTGACGACCTTTAGGTGCATGGGTCGCTGCTCAACGTTTGAGCCATGCCAGCCGGGCGCATTACCATATTTTTAAATGTTCTGATAAGACCTATTTAAAATAAGTAGTCTATGCTAGGATTCATTTTCAGTGTTACCCGTGATCTGGGGAAGGGAACATTTCTCTTCTGGAACCAAATGGAAACAGTGGAGCAGATGAACGACTAACCAGGTGTTGACCGACTACAGCCCACAGGCCAGATCCCACTTGCAACCTGTTATTGTACGTCCTGAGAGACAAGAAGGGTTTCCACATTTTTAAGTACAGTCGTCCCTCGTTTATCACGGTGAATCTGTTCCAGACTCCAGCAGCTGCCCCTGGAGTTGAAGGCTTCCTGGGGTGCTCGAATACATAGGCCTACAGTCCATACGTACAGTAATTTTAATTGTAATTGTAATTGTAATGCAGGGGTGTATAATTGACTCAGACAACCAAGCACATGCTGCATCATTTTCACTGTCTCAATCAACTTTTTAATGAATATATTTGACAAAACTGCAATAGAGTGAAACCGCAAAAGTCGAAGCGCAAAGTGGCGAGGGACGACTGTAGTTGAAAAGAACATCAAAAGAATATTTCATGACACCTGAAAATGAAATGAATTAAAACATTGGCATCTACAAACAGTTACTGGGATGCAGCCACGCCCACTTGCCTCTGGTTGCAACATCATGCTGAGTAGTCAAAACAGAAACCACATGACTTTCAAAGCCCCAGATATTTATGATCTGGTTCTGTAAAGAAAAAGTTTGCTGACCCTTGGTATAGATCCGTGGATTTCAACCCTGGATGCACAGTAGAATAACTCGAGAAACTTGTAGAAGTATGGACACCAGGACCCACTTAAATCAATGAAATAGAAATGGATCCAGTGATGCTAATATGGAGGCAAGGCTGAAAGTCATCACTCTGGGTCCTATGAGTGGCCACAAACTATAGGTGAGCTTTATGTAGACAGACACAAGGCAGCAGGTTTAGAGAAAACGAGATTTATAAATTTAGCTTTCAGGCAGCCTTTTATGGCCAACATTCTCTGTAAACTCTTTTTTACAGAGTTTACGTGCATCTGCAGTCAACGGAGCTCACCAGGCACGATTTGCAAGCAGAATATCAGGACCAACAGTGTAAACAACGCGTCCTTGTTTAAATGTTGACAGTTGGCAAATGCGGGTAGTATTGGTTGCTAGCAACTCAAGAAGGACAGAGTAGAATTGAAGAAAATCCACAAATGAAAGAACTAGATTGTTAACAGCTAAGAACTATTTTGGAAGAAATCACTGTAGCCAGAAAAGATTAAAAATGGGAGGGAGTATAATGGAAACAGTGACTAAAATGTGGACATTTTTACTAAATTCTACCCTGGACCAGAAAATGCCATTAATCCATTATTTTATTTTAAAAAAGGGGAGTCCGGTTTCTGGTCTGGCATGTGAGAAGGTCAGAAGTCACCACTCTGTCCTAGGAGAAACTGAACAAACTGGAAATTCAGCTCCCCTTAGTTCCCTCAGAGAACTGAGGTTACAAACCACCGCCCCCAAAGTGGAGAGACGGACAGGCAGACAGATGATCACGACTCACCGGAGCAGAAACCCACCAGCAGAAACCTCCGGGGAACCAGGGCCCGGGGAACAGGGCCCGGGGAACCGGACCGGTAATGGTGGCCTACCAGAGCTCAGGGAGGACAAGGCGCAGGATGAACGACCCCAGGAGGCCCGGCTTCGTGAGTTCTGCCTCCAGGAGCCCTACCAGGTTCTCACCGTGAAGACCAGAGAAAAAGACTCTGGTGCTTTTAGCAAGGGGAGGGGAAAGGATGATTTTGAAATCCACCAGCACATTCTGTTCTTCTTCACAAGGCCTGCCCTCAGGAGAAAGTGTTTAAACAGGGCCTCACCTGCCCAGGTTTTATCAGACCTGCGTGGTCTGGGGGAAGGGAAACACCCAGCCCCAGCTGGCTCCAGCCTAACCCTGAGGAAGAAAAACATCCAACTTCAGACCCTCCTGCCATCCAGGTCCACCTACCAGGGTGGAACACAACAGGGAAAACCGAGGTTCATCTCCCAGCAGCACAGGCTGACGAGGCTGACACCTAATCACAGGACTGCACACACACCCAGCCCACAGCTGACCAGCACAGCGGTAAAGCCTACTGACTGCACTTTCTTTTGCCCAGAACATCAATCCACCTTTCGAGAAAAAATTGCAGGGCATATGAAAAGGCAAAACACACAGTTTGAAGAGACAGAGCAGGCGTCAGAGCCAGACTCGGTTGTTGGAAATGTCAGACCAGAAACGTAAATAACTCTGATTCAGATACAAAGGGCTCAGATGGAAAAAGTAGGCAACGTGCAAGAATAATATGTAATGTTGGCAGAGAGATGGTATTTCTAAAAAGGAAAAAAAGAAACGCTTGAGATAAAAAACACTGTAATAGAAATGAAGAATGCCTTTTATCAACTTATTAATACACTGGACACAGTTGAGAATCTCTGAGTTTAGGTATATGTTAAAGAAACTTACAAAAAGATAAAGTAATGAAAAAGAACACACAGAATAGAATATCCAAGAACTGAGACAACTATAAAAGGTGTTAGATATGTGTGATGGGAATGTCAAAGAGAAGAAAAAGGAAAAGAAACAGAAATATTGAAGCAATAATGATGGCAAATTTCACCAAATTCTTGTCAAACCACAGATCCA